TATCCCAGCATTCAGGAAGCAGAGGCAAGTGGATCTCTGAGTTTGAGGCCAGCCTGGTATACAAAGCAAGTTCCTAGACAATTGGGGATATTACACAGAGAAATTCTGTCTCAATAAAAACAAACAAAAAACAATTAGAAGGACTAAACTGAACTAGTTAACATCTTATATACTTTACTAAATTTTGGTGAGAACACTTAAGATTTGCTGTTATGTTTTTAAAAAATATTACATATTGGTAAATATATTTTACTGTGTTGTAACATCTCTTTAACTTAGTCTTCCTAACTGAAATTTTGTGTCCTTTACTTAAATCTTCCCTAAGCCTCACATCGCTCTCTTCAACACGAGTTAGTACCATTCTACTCTTTGTTAAAGGCTGAATGACATTTGTGTGTGTGTGTGTGTGTGTGTGTGTGTGTGTGAGAATACATATGCATGTCCATGTTTCCTTTATCCGTTTGTTGATGGACACACGCATTCATTCCATCTCTTTACTACTGTAATGCAAAGTTAACACTGGAACCTCATATCTCAGCATGCTGCCATCAAGTCCGTGGCCATATACTTAAAAGTAGAACTGGAAGAACATGTGGTCTGTTTCTAATTGTCTGAGGAGTTACCATAATAGTTTTAACAGTAATAGTTCCCACCAACAGTTTGCAAAAACCTACCCTTTTTTCATCTCCTTTCTAACATTTGTGATCGTTTGTCTTTTGGATAATACCCATTTAAATAGGAGTGATATCATAACTCATTATGGGTTTGACTTAATTTCCCTGATGACTAGTGATATAGAATATTTTTCATGTGCCAGTTAGCTATATGTCTTAGGCCCTTTGCCCATTTTAATTGACTTCTCATATTTGGATACTAGTCTTTTACAAGGTGTATGGTAGGGAATCAAATCCAGGGTCTTTTGAAGTCACTCAGATACTTTGCCACAGAGCTGCATCCTCAGCTTTCCACTGCCCATTCTGGCCTTGAACTTTGTATCTGCTCTGCTGGCATCCCAGGTAGCTAGGATTGCAGGTGCATCTATTTACAGTCTGGGCTGTGTATTCAGAAACTCTGATGGGGCTGGAGGGAATGCTTACTGCTTTTCCAGAGGATCTTAATTTGGTTCTCAACACCCATAATGGTGGTTCATAACCACCTGTAACTCCAGGGGATCCAATGCCCTCTTCTGGCCTTCACTGGCACTCTCTCTCTCTCTCTCTCTCTCTCTCTCTCTCTCTCTCTCTCTCTCTCTCTCTCTCTCTCTCTCTCTCTCTCTCTCTCTCTCTCTCCTCTCTCCTCTCTCCTCTCTCCTCTCTCCCACATTCACACACACACTCATACACAAATTAAAAAATGAAAGTAAGTCTTTTAAAAAGTTCTTGATAATTGCTTATCATTTAATAGGCAGCCCCAGTGCCTAGAAAAGTTACATTGTGCTACACTGTCAATAAGTATATTCATAAATCTGTGTTGGCATTTGCTTCATCAAAGAATCTTAAGCTATATTTTCCCAGTATCTTAACAACACACAGAAATATTATAATAAAAGCTTATAAAACCACAGTATCCTAGCAATGATGTACTTTTATAATAGAGAGTTCCATGCCAGAGAATTTGTATTTATAAATTAGTCTTATTCTCCTGGCTACCTAAACTGACACACACCTTTTTCCATGTTAAAACAGGCTCTGTTTTCTTTCTAGCCTTGAAATTCCAAACAGAGCTGTCATTGTTTTCAGCACACAATCCAGCTGAACAGGGCTGCTGCGACATCTTCCAGTTTCCCAAGTTAGGAAAAGAAGTTAAGAGAGGATTGTTGCTCAGTGCCTTGAGTACAGGAAAATGATTAGACAAGGTTTCTAGCAGTTGGTTGCAGCATTATAGCTGCTGAGTTCAAAAGCCATCCACCAAGCCACAGAAAATATGCAGTGCAGGAGGTGTGTGTGTGTGTGTGTGTGTGTGTGTGTGTGTGTGTGTGTGTGATTGTTGTTGTTGTTGTGAGGTGAGGACAGGCAAGTGCTAATCTAGCAGTGGGCAAGCTATCTTCAGATGAATAGACTGTTCTGTTTGGTTTTTAACCTCCTCCCACAAAAACCCCAATTAGAATCTCAGTTTTCTAGGTGTCCATCCTTTCCTTTTGCCTGTTGATGGGAGGTATGACATTCATTCATGCAGGTGGAAATGATTTCCTTCCTCACCTCATGTTCTGAGCTTTGAGTTAGGCCGTTTTTTGTTTTGTTTTGTTTTTTTTTTTTGTGTTTATTGAGTTTCTATTCTGTAGTTAAGTCTGTTGGGGTTTGATCAGAAAATCAAGATAGTAACTTTAACAGTGAGTGTTCTAATACTAGGATTTGTTAACTAGGCATAAAGTAAAGCAGGCAATTAAGGCAAGAAAGTAAACTACCTCAAAGGAAGCAATTATAAAAAGAGCCACCACTTTTAGAGGTGAAAGAACAAAGGAAAGGGACTGGATTTACTGAGTTAAGCACAGAAGGCTGATCCCCTGGAGCCACGTCCTTCTAAAAAGGATGTTGCTTCTTATAGTAGCCTTGATGGAGAGATCCAGCTCACTAAGGATACGGTACTTGGTGTGCTGGTACTGGCTGTCTTGGTGGAAATCATAAAGTTGCATTATGAGGCTGGGGTTGAAAAAGCTGCAGCTTGATTTTGTTGTTGAGGAAGGAACTGCTAGTCCTGAAGTATAAAACCAAGGCTGAGATGATGCCTACAGGCACAACAGGGTTAAAGGTATGCAGAGAGAAGAAAGAAGGGCATCTCCCTCCATCCAACCTTTCCATTGACAGGACCTGAAAAGGGTTTGCAGATTCCAAACTGAACATTACAAGATAGTAGGAGGATGGACTTGAAGATGAGTCGAAAAGGCCTCTGTAGCACCCGGCATTTCAGCATGCCACACCATGATCATTTAAATGCATTATTGATTTGGTAAGGTATCTGTGAACAGTATTATGGTTAATTAATAACAACCATGTCTTCTGATTTTGCAAATAAGTAAATAAATAAATGAATTCTGCATCACTAATACATCCCCCTTTCATTGTATTATAAATTCCTGTGAAGACTACTGCATCCTACTCATTTTTGTACCCTTTGAATCATCTGGTACACTGGTGTGTTGCATCCCCCCATAAACTGATGTGTTTTATTTTTTATTGCATTTTACATGTATGTGCGTTTGCTTGCATATATGCATGTGCACCATGTCTATGCTTGGTACTCATGGAGGTCAGAAGAGGGCATTGGCTCACTGGATGGTTATGGATGGTTATGGATGGTTGCAAACTACCATGTAGGTGCCAGGAACCACACCCAGGTCCTCTGCAATAGTTTTCTTACATGCTGAGCCGCCTCTACTGTCCCCTCTGTGTGAAAAGCTCCAGCTACTCCTCAAGCTTTCTTCTTCAACCTCTATCTCAGCTCTTTATGCAGTTGTTAGCTTCTCTTGCTGTTGGTTATCTTTCTCTAGTGAACATTGACTGTATGTGCACGAGTGTGTGTGCATGGGTGTGTACACCTTAGATGATCACATTTAACCCTCCTAGAACATACTCTGTAGACCAGGCTGGTCTTGAATTCACAGAGATCCACCTGCCTCTGCCTTCCAAGTCCTGGGATTAAAGGCATGTGCCACCGCTGCCTGGTCTAACCATTATGGTTTTATAAATGCTTTTTTTTGTGTTGTTAATGCCCAGATTTGGCCATGGCCTTTGAAAATTAATTTCAGTACTCACAAAGTAAATCTTAGGTCTTTTCTTTTTTAAAGTCCCACTTCCCTTCAAATGAAGGGTATTAAATTCCAGGTGATTAAATTTTATTTCAGTTTTAGGGTATTATGTTAATTTGTGTTTCTTGCTTTACCTAGAAAATATGACTTGTTTTATTTGTACCTTTGAAATTCATTAATTATTTTCAGTGATTTGATTGATGCTTGTTTTCATTTAATGTATATGGGTATTTTGCCTGCATATATATCTGTATACCACATGGGTGCCTGGTACCCACAGAAGCCAAAAGAGGGTGTTAGATCCCCTGGGACTGGAGTTACAGATAGTTGTGAGTCACCATATGGGTGCTGGGAATTGAATCTGGGTTCTCTAGAAGAGCAGCTAGTACTCTTAACTGCTTAGCTGTCTCCAGCTCCCCTCCCCCCTCTTTTGAGACAGAGTCTTTATATGTAGCCCTGACTGTCCAGAAACTTGCTATGTAGACCAGACCGGCCTGTCTTTGCTTTCTGAGTGCTGGTTTTAAAGGCACATGTTAACACTCTTGGTTTTCATTATCTTAACAGTATTATTACTTTTCGTTCCCCTCATGCTTCAGCCTTTAAAGAGCTGGGGTACTGGGCCACCATGCCTTACTTAAATGTTTCTTATTTAATTTCTTAATCTGTCTTCTGTATGTGATGATAAAGCAGGATTGTATGTATACATAATTCATTTCTGTTCATTTTATTGTTTGTGACTTTGGTACATAGCTAGTTTGTTTTTATATTAAAGGGACAGAGTGCTTGCTTGGGATATGCCAGGCCTTAGTACATGAAAAAGGAAAATAATAAATAAAAGAAAATTTATTAGAGTATTTTCAGTATGTACATGGGCAGATTTTTAGTGTCATCAGTCTTAAAATCTATATTTTAATATATTTAATGGCTTTTAAGTATAATTACTACACAAATAATTATTAACCTAAAATATTACTATTGCAAAAAAATAAATTGCTCATTATCACAACACTCAGAAATGACAAAAGCTTTGCTATGTATTGTTCCCACACATGTAGAAGGAAATGGAGGGTGGAAGGAGGGCAAAGTCCCATGGCAGGTATCTTCAGCATGGCTATTAAGTCACCCAGTTTGTATCACTCATGTCTCTCTTAGAGCAGGATACAAGTAGTGTTCAGACTAGTTGCTGTCATATAAACAAACATTCATTAAATGTTTGAGGAATGAGAGAGAGGTTTTCCCCTTTTTCTTTCTGCAGATTTCCATGGAGAATGATTATCTGGGACCTCGAAGAATTGAGAGTCTACAAAAAGAGGATGCTGACTGGCAGCGAAAAGCTCACATGGCTGTGTTGTCTATTCAGGATCTCACGGTCAAATACTTTGAAATAACAGCTAAAGCTCAGAAAGGTAAGCTTTTCAGTAAGATTCCTTAGGTGTTTTTTGAAGATGAGTAGTTAAGTTTTATGTTTAGACTAATTATAGAGTAAGTGTGGCTCTCTGCAGCAGAGAGTAACCATTAGTAGCAAGTCAAGGCATCCTTTCAGCCCCTTCTAGGCACATGTATGGCCTGCTCGCAGAGTACTGTTGTGGGGTAGCCTCCAGAGAATACTTCTCAAACGTGGGTATAAGTCTGTTTTAGCCAGTTGTCAACTTCACTTGGTGTTAGGGATCCTGTGTAGTCCCAAGCCTTTCTCAGGGTGAGCTTTTAAGCACAGAATCTATGTTCTGGGTTGACAAATATGAGTTAACAAGAACAATTAGCCAGAAGTGGAATTGCAGAAGCCAAAAAGCAAGGTTAGTACATTTAGAGACATTCTCAAAATTATGGGATTTGATGGATTGGGTCTTTGTTTTCATTTTGGCAAGTGGTACTGTCTGCATGCTGAGTTTTATGGTATGAATGGTACTTCTATCATAGAGTTAGTTGTGCTAAGATCTGGAGGCCAACTAAGGACCGAGGCTCTGTTACAAATACAGAAATAAACACAGTAAGGTTATTTAATCTTGGATAGAACCAATTACTGGGAAAACTTCTGCCTTAATTAGGTTTCTATTGATGTGAAGAGATACCATGACCACAGCAACTCTTATAAAGAAAAACCTTTAATTGAGCTAGGTTACAATTTCAGAGGTTTAGTCCGTTATCATTTTGGCAGGATATGGCAGCTTGTAGGCAGACGTGGTTTGGAGAAGGAGCTTAGAGTTCTGCATATTGATCTATAGGCAACAGGAAATGAACTGACTCACTGGGAATGGCTTGAGCATATGAGACCTTAAAGCACACCTGTACAGTGAGACACTTCATCTAATAAGGCCACACCTCCTCCAAAGCCACACCTTCTAATAGTGCCGCTTCCTATGGGGGCCATTTTCTTTCAAACTACCACAATTCTATATTGTAAAGATGGTTAGGAGAAATTAACAGTACAAAATTAATCACCTTTTAAATTATAAAAGAAGGTACCAGTGAATATATCTAATATTGCATTTTGAACTAATCTAATTGCCAATATCTGTAAGAAAGCATCTATCATTTATTAAAGTGTGATTGGGCATAAAGATACCACTGTCAATGCTCCTACCAGTATTTTCTTTTTTTTTTTTTTTTTTTTTTTTTTTTTTTTTGCACATCACTCCTTTATTATACTGATCTGGAAAGAGATTTAGTAGTTATGCCCAAAACGAGTTCTGAACCCACATAGTAGGGCCAAGCAGCTGGAACATGATTCAGACAGTGAAAGACAAAACCTGGACATGATCAAGGGGCACTGCACCTCTCCAAAGCAAGGCAGAGGTAGCCTAACACAGCGTGAAGCACTCCTGCCCCTTGAGGACACGGAGTTTATCCCATCTGATATGAGGAATGGCTTATTTTCTGGTGACCACATGGAACTATTTCAATCACCACTAGAAAAAGCAGAGGGGCTTTTTCTGCTGATAAATACACATGTACCCTTTTTTTTTGTAAAAGTAAATGTAACAACACAGACTTGACAGGATTGATCCCAACCTTCCAGGGCCAGCAGCTCCTTTAGGATCAGATAGGAAGGTAGTATGTTTAAATCTCCATGTGAGTTACCTTCACCTTCTACTGGAATGGCTACAGCCCCCAGTTACCTAACTGGGACAAAACTTGGCTGCAGCTTCTCACTGGTTACACCACTGCATGGTTCTTCCTAAAGCTGACCCTTAGTAAACACAGGACTAAGAAAAGTAATCACTACCTCTCACCTCTCCTGGTAAGAGGCGCCGTCCCTGGATGTGGACCAAGAACCTGCACCCCAGAGGTGTTTTTCTGACTAGATTCTATGAAGGGAGTGGGTGCAGGGGATAAAATACTAAATGAAAATGGGAGCCATGGGTCCCCATCTGCAACTACAACTTAAACTTAAGATTCTAAAGATGTAGTCAGTGTGGCAGGTGTTGGGGGAGGGTGCAGGAGGCGTAAACAGGCAGGGAGGAGGGTGTTAGGGTAGGAGTCTGCCTGCTCGCCTTCACTTCTTGACCTTGCCCTGAGCAGCCACAGCTTCCATGGCTTTCCGCACGGTCTCTTCATCTCCCAGGAACTGCATGGGTTTGACAGGCTTCAAGTTCTTGTCCAACTCATAGACAATGGGAATGCCTGTTGGCAGGTTCAGCTCCATGATGGCCTCTTCTGAGAGCCCCTCCAGATGCTTGACAATGCCCCGAAGGCTGTTGCCATGGGCCGCAATCAGGACTCTTTTCCCCTCCTTGATCTGAGGGACAATTTCTTCATTCCAGAAGGGCAGAGCTCTGGCAATAGTGTCCTTGAGGCTCTCACAGGAGGGTAGCTGGTCCTCAGTAAGGTCTGCGTACCTGCGATCCTTACTGATGTTGCTGTAGAAGGGATGATCAGGCTCCATTGGAGGCGGTGGGACATCGTAAGATCGCCTCCAGATCTTTACCTGCGCCTCACCATGCTTAGCAGCAGTTTCTGCTTTATTGAGACCAGTCAGACCCCCATAGCGTCGCTCATTGAGGCGCCAGGTCCTGACCACTGGCAGCCACATCTGGTCAATGGCATCCAAGACTGTCCAGAGGGTCCGGATTGCTCTCTTCTGCACGGAAGTGAAGCAGATGTCAAATTCATAGCCAGCATCTCGCAACGCCTGTCCGCCACGCTTCGCCTCCTCGTGGCCCGCCGGGCTCAGGTCGGCGTCGTACCAGCCGCTGAAGCGGTTCTCTAGGTTCCAGGCGCTCTCGCCGTGCCGGATCAGCACTAGCTTGTAGGCGGCCATGGCGACAGGCAGGAGGATGCGGCAGAGACTCCTACCAGTATTTTCTTTAAAAAACTTTATTTATGTGCATATATCTATGTGGTTTTGTGAGTGTGTATGTATGCATGTATGCATGTATGTATGCATGTATGTATGTATGTATGTATGTATGTATGTATGTGTGTGTGAATGCAGGTTCCCATGGAGGCCCAAGTCATTGACTCTCCTGGAGCTGCCCAAATGGGGGTGCTGCTAATTGACCTTGGGTCCATTGGAAGAGCAGCAGGTGCTCCTATTCGCTGAGCTATCTCTAGTTCTGCTGTTTTCTTTTTTCTTTGTTTGTTTTTTTGTTTGTTTTTGGTTTTTCGAGACAGGATTTCTCTGTGTAGCTTTGGAACTTGTCTTGGCACTTGCTCTGTAAACCAGGCTGGCCTCGAACTCACATAGTTCTGCCCGCCTCTGCCTCCCCAGTGCTGGGATTAAAGGCGTGTACCACCACTGCATGACTTAGTCCTGCTTTTTTTTTAATTGGAAGATATTAGCTGTCTACCAACAATTAGCATCTGAGACAGGCCTATGTTATTACAAACTAAGAAGTTCTTCCTTTCTGGGCAGTAGTAGCTCAAACCTTTAATCCCAGCACTTGGGAGGCAGAGGCAGATGAATCTCTTGAGTTCAAGGCCAGCCTGTTCTATAGAATGAGTTCCAGGACACCCAGGGCTCTTAAACAGAAAAATCCTGTCTTAGAAAACAAAACAAATAGAAAAACCCAAGTTCTTCTTTCCGGGGAAGGAAGAGGGCTGTGCTCTCTTATCTTATGGTTCCATTTTTACCTTCTGGATGAGAACTGAACTAGTGTGTGGTGTTAGTTCCTCCTGCATGTGGTTCTCACAAAATTTTCAGCCTATACAATGATAAGCCATGGAATGTAGGATTGACTATTTAGGGCATAGAGTTCAGCTAATCCATATGTACTGTATATATGCATTTTGATCATGTTCACCCAAATTCTTGAATGTTATTTTTCTTGATTAATTTATTATTATTTTTGTTCTTGTTTTTTGAGACAGAGTCTCTTCATCTAGTCCTGGCTGTCCTGTAACTGACTCACTATGTAAATAAGGCTGGCTCCAACTCACCATGCCCAGCTTTAAGCTACATTTAAAAAATGATTTATACCTATTTTCTATTTATGTCTGTATGTAAGTCTGTGTTTATGTGTACCACGTGTGTATGGAATCAGAGGAGGCCAGAAAAAGGCGTCTGCTTCTCTGTAACTAGTCATTACAGGTGGCTGTGAACTGCTGTGTGGAATCTGGGAACCAAACCTAGGTTCTGTGCAAGAGCAGTAAACATGCTTATCTTCTCAGCCCGCTCTATCCCATGTTGAAGGTCGTTGCTTTGTTTTGTTTTGTTTTAGTCAGTGTCTCACTATGTAGCTGTGGCTGTTATGGAATTCACTATGTAGACCAGGTTGGCCTCAAACTTAGAGAGACCTGCACCATTGCTTGAGATAACAGAGAATGAATGATACTATTGAACTATATTTTAGAGATATTAAATAATTTATTGTGAACATCAGTGAAATGTAAGAGAGACCTCATGTTCCTTAGTGTCTAGTAGTTTTGTGCCTTACTATTTCTACAAAATTGTTATTACCAGCTGTGTATGATCGGATGCGAGCAGATCAGAAGAAATTTGGCAAAGCATCATGGGCAGCAGCTGCAGAACGCATGGAAAAACTCCAGTATGCAGTTTCTAAGGAGACTTTGCAGATGATGAGAGCTAAAGAAATTTGTCTGGAACAGAAGAAACATGCACTGAAGGAAGAGGTAAGAATAGATAAATGTGAAAAGTTGGGATTTGCATATATTAGGTTCTTGGTTTTGATAGATAATATCCCTCCATCCTCACCCCCCACATTTCTCTGTAGCTTTGGAGGCTGTCCTGGAACTGACTTTGTAGACCAGCCTCAAACTCACAGAGATCCTCCACCTGCCTCTCCCTCCTGAGTGCTGGGATTAAAGGTGTGTGCCATCACTGTCTGGTGATAGAAATCTTTTTTGATATTATTTTTATATAACCTTTTCTTATTACACTGCCATTTTTTTAATGTCTGTCTGTGTGTGTGTGTGTATGTGTGATGCATGTGTTTATATGTGCATGCATGAGATGTATGAGGACAGTCAGTCTTGGGTGTCATTCCTCAGTTGATGACCACTTTGTTTTTTTTGAGAAAGAATTTTTTTCAGTGCCCAGAATTAATCAATTGAGCTGGGCAGGCCAACCCAAAGGCTCCACCTTTCTCTGCCTCTCCATCCCTGGGATTTCAAACATGTGCTACCACACTCAACATTTTTATATAGTTAGGCCCTGGAGGTCAGGATCTTAGACTTGAATAATATCTTAGCTTCTTTCTGATGCTATGATAAACATATAGACTAACAGCAACAAGGGAGAGGAAAGCATGCCCTTAACAAAAGGCTATCCTCTGATTCAGGGCAACAATTAAGTTGTTTCTGGAGATGGAATTTGGTGTTCTTGGGGATCAAATTCAGGTTTCCAGACTTTCAAGACAAGAGCTATGACCCTGCACATAGCCTTTTTAAAGCTTTTGAAAACATGAATAAGATTTGGTCATAGAATATAGTGACATTTGAAAACTACATGTGAAAATGATCTGTGAGCTTGATCAGATTCAAGGTGGACCATTGGAGAAGTAGAGAGCTTAGACTAGAGAGTTGTGGGCAAGACGGTTGGTGTGCTAGGAGAGGTTAAGAAGCAAAGTTGGAAAAACAAGAGTGTTTGCATGTTCTGCCAAGAGTCAGATTTTATCCTTAAAACAACATGTCTCAGCTGACCTGAGCTTGTGGGAGCTCACAGACTGCGCCAACAGCTAGGAAGCCTGCATGGGACTGACCTAGGCCCTCTGCATGTGTGTGACAGTTGTGTAGCTTGGTCTGTGTGTGGGGCCTCTGGCAGTGGGATCAGGACCTGTCCCTGCATTTGAGCTGGCTTTTGGGAACCTGTTCCCCATGCTGGAATGCCTTGCCCAGCCTTGATGCAGGGCTTGGTCCTTTCTCAACTTGATGTGCCTCCTATGGGAGGCCCGCCCCTTTCTGAACGGAGGAGCAGTGGATGGTGGGGGCAGTATAGATGGAAGGTGGGGAGGAAGGAGGGAACAAGAAGACAGGAGGGAGGAGAAACTGACTGGTATGTAAAATAAATGAAAAAAACTTTGATAAAAAAAAGAAAAGACAAGAAAACAGCAGCATGTCTCCGTTGTAAGGAAAAAGTAAGATTTATTATATATGAACAGTTGTTCTGGCTAAGTATAGAGGATGCATTTTAGGCGATCCTTCTATGGAGAACTAGACTTCCCAAACTTGATTTCAGTGTCAGTAGTAGAAGCCAAGGTATGAATCAAAAATGAACACACACAATTCTCTCCTCTCATAATTTGGACCTTTTGTACAGTAATGGATGAAGTCTATATTGAAAGCAATATGGAATTAGGAAAACATAAAAACTACATGTAATGTTCTTGTAGTCTGAGCATTTGGTGACAGTTCCAAGTTTGCAACACATTCATCTTGAATAGATTGGAAAGGATGGTAAAATGTATGTTTTTATTGCAGAGTGAGCTGGACAAAGGTGACTGAATTTCTATTAGTTATTTTGAAGAAACACTTATACTTCAAGGATTAGATAAAATAGTTATTTCATTCATTTTTAGATTTGTGGGTTTTGGTTTTTTTTTTTTAATCTATTTTGTATATAGCAATACAGTTTATACTAAATAATACTTGGGGTAGAATTATTTAAACAATGAAAGGAAGAGGCAAATTCAGAATACAAATATCTTTTCCCCCAAGTTTTTCTTTTTTATTACTTTTTGTAAGTGTGTCATCATGACAAGTGTGTTCAGACTAATCATGTCCAATTCTTACTGCTCTAATGGACAGTGAAATTGGAAAGCAAGCCCAGCTTTCATAATCACTGCCTCAAAGGTGTAACACATGTTAGTTTCTTCTGGAATACAAACATGGTTCTTGCTGCTTTAACACCCAGACAGTTGAAATCAGCATCTACCAAAAAATGGAAGGCTGCAAAGGAGTCAAAACTAAGAAAAAAACATAAAAACAAAACAATTCTCTGTGTAGCCCTAGCTGTCCTAGAACTCATTCTGTAGACCAGGGTGACCTTGAATTCAGAGATCCACATGCCTCTGCCTCCCGAGTACTGGGAATAAAGGTGTGCACAACCACTGCCCCCCATAGAAATTTTTTTCTCATCATCTAATAATACCCTCTCTTCATTTCCTTTCTTGCATTCTCAACCCACACTCAAACCAGTGTACATTGATATATGTATACATTTACAAAGCCATGCACATTTAAACCCATTTTATTAAGGAGTGTAGCTCAGTGGTGGAACTCTTGCATAGAATCATATGACGTCCAGCAATAAAATAATAATGAAAAGTTAAATAAAGCCACTCAGATAGTCACACAACATAGGATAATCTAGCCATCACCAGCCATAGTGTTTACCAAGAGCTGTATAATAAACAAAACAACTAATAAAACTTGAGTCATGATGCATTCATTTCTGGGTCATATTTTTATCCCCGCTGGTAGTGTACAGTTGTTGGAATGTGAAAAACAATGTGTATTTACTTTTAAGAAGTGTCTTTTCTAACTCTTCTTTTTTAAGGAATTTTTAAAAAAGAATTCTGCTTATTTTCTGGATTCAGGCCTGTTACCCAATACACAACCGCTTTTCTCTCATTCTCTTGGTTACTCATTTTTATTTTTATTTTAAAATACTAAATATGCAGCCAGGTGTGGTGGAGCATACTCTTAATCACCCTAGCACCTTCAAGGTAGAGACAGGAAGATTGAGTTCAGTTCATCCTCAAATGTGTAACAAATATAGGCCAGCCTGGGCTATATGAGGAGATCCTGTATCAACACCCTCATACCTCATGTATTTGTCAAGCTGTTACTCTCATGCTTACTTTTAATAGTACAGGTTGAAATTTTTTCCACTTGATGTCTGGGTAGTGGTGACACACAACTTTAATCCCTGTACTTGGGAGGCATAGGCAGGCAGATCTCTGTGAGTTCCAGGCTATGGTAGTGAGTTCCAGGACAGCCAGCACTGTTAACACAGAGAAACTGTCTTGAAAGAGAATTTTTATGTATATGAATGTTTACCTGTATGAGTATATGTATACTATATAGACACTTGGTACCCATGGAGGTCAGAAGACATCTGATTCCCTGGGATTGGTGTTAGGGAATGTTGCCTACCATGTGGGTGCTGGGAACCACATTGGCTCCTTTCTTAACTGTGGAGCCACCTTTCCAGGTCCCCGTTTTATGTAGAACATGTTGCTTTTTCAGGGCTAGAGAGGGACGGATCAATGGTTAAGAGAACAGCTAACAGCACTCTGTAGCTCCATGTCCAGACAGCCCAGCACCCTCTTCTGTTTCCTTGAGCACTGCCTGCACATCACATAGATAAGCATGCAGGCAAAAATACTCATACACATGAGAGCTTAAAGACTGTTATTTATGAATCTGTTAATGGTTTGAGTATCCTGAAATGCTCCACAATGGCATTGCTATTAATTAATTGTTTTGAAATATAGGGTCTCACTATATAATCCAACTGCCCTTGAACTTGATCTTCTTGCCCTTCCCTGTTTCTGTGTGCTGGGATTGCCAGTGGATGCCAGCACTCTGGGCATACTGACACTGTAGCAAGGTTTCTCTGTTAGTTTGAAAAATATCACATGAAGTAAACTCTGATACCTCATAGCTGTACGGTAGAAAGCAGTCTTTTTGTTAGTAGATTAAATCATGATTTTTTTTTCCTCCTCTTTTACATTTTCCCCCCCTCACTTTTTTTTTTTTTGGTGTGTTTTTAGAACGCAAAGCTGGACCTTGTCTGGGACAATTTGCATTTTGTATTCACCTCTGAAGGATTTCAGTCCCATCCCATGTTCACCTGAGGCATTTCTACTGTAATTTCCCTTTAATGAGCTTGCACCTTCTTGTTACTGGCTATCAGGATTTCTTTTCAAATCCCAGCCTGTTTATTGCCTTTTCCAAGTAATGGTATGTCTGACACTGACCTGCTCTGGCAGTACAGGGTGCCTAGGCAAAGACTCCCAACTCCTAACTTAGAAAGTGCAGTTTCTTTAAACAGGTCTCCAATGGCAGAGGACAGGATGGGTGAGGCTAACCTAGAGCTCTCTACAGTTTGAGTCTGTGTGGTCATTTATAGGCCACATCTGGGGTTGTAATAGTCTGCTTTTAAAAGTCTTGCATTATGTGTCTGAATTCTTCAAAGGATTCACAAAGGCCAGTTAGTCATTCTTGCCAGGTTTATGCTTGTATATATAATATAGGTCCTGTGTTTTATATATATTTAGCTGTGATGATGTACAGTGTCAGTTTTAATAGCCTTAATTTAATTTAAGGTGTCTGTATTACTCATGAGAAACAGAACACATATAAAATATTAAACCCATCCCAAATAAATGCTTTGCCCCTGCAGACTTCTGTTGGTAACACAGCCTACTGCAAGCTTTAGAGTAAGGGGAGACCTGAGACGACCTCTCCCCTCCCTCCCTCCCTCCCTCCCTCCCTCCCTCCCTCCCTCCCTCCCTCCCTCCCTCCCTCCCTCCCTCCCTCCCTCCCTCCCTCCCTCCCTCCCTCTTTCTCTCTCTCTCTGTTTGTTGAGACAAGGTCTTAATTTTAGCCCTGGAAATTGCCTTACAGAACAGGCTGGCTTCCTGAGTGTTGAGTTTTATTCTTAAAATGTCTGTACTTCAGGGCTGGAAAGATGGCTCAGAGGTTAAGAGCACTGGCTGCTCTTCCAGAGGTCCTGAGTTCAGTTCCCAGCAACCACATGGTAACTCACAACCATCCATGGGATTTGGTGCTCTCTTCTGCCATGTTACAACACTGTGTGTGTGTGTGTGTGTGTGTGTGTGTGTGTGTGTGTGTATAATCTTTTAAAAAAGGTCAGTATTACCTTTTAAATTAGGAAGAGACAATATGATCCAGTTCTAAAACATTGTGTTGAGGAAAACATTGAAGTAGTAGAAAAGTACCTGTTAGAAAATAAAATTATTGTTAATCATAAATAAGTCATTATGTTTATCTACTTGGCTTATTTTAAAGACAAATTTCTTGATATAAAAGTAAATCATGAGATTAAAATTATGAATTAATAGAAATAGGAGTACTTTTCACTAGATTAATGATGAACTTGAAATAAAATTTCCAAATTAACATGTAGCTATCACTAATCCTCTATTTGGCATTTAAATTTTATTCATATTTAAGACTACAGTGGTTTTAATAAGAATGACCCTATAGGCTCATATTTGAATGCTTAGTCATCAGGGTGTGTTGCTACTTGAGAAGGATCAGGGAAAGAGAGGCCTTGTTGGAAGAAATGTGCCCTTGCAGGTGGCCTTTGAGGCGTCAGAAGCCCAAGCCAGGCCCAGTGGCTCTTTCTTCTGCTGCCTGTGGATCCAGATGTAGAGCTTCCAGTTCCTTCCCCATGTGTGCCTACATGCTGCCATGCTCCCTGCCCTGACAGAGTGATGGACTAAACCTCCAAAACTATAAGCTAGCCCCAGCTAATGTTTTCTAAGAGTTGCTGGGTCATGGTGTCTTTCACAGCAATAGAGCGTTGACTGAGGCAAAGATGAAACAGTTTCTTTTGATTTGACTTTAATTTGTGATTAGGTTATTTTCTTTATAGTTACTAAGTGAAGAAGATACTAAAGTTAAGGTACCAGCATGAAGTCAGTAATAGAAAGCAGTTATAGCTCAGTGGTCCGTGAACTTTTGTCTGCTGGTTAGAAGATGAATCAGAGAGCTCCCAGAAGGATCTGCCTTTGTATATAACCTGCTTCTCAGCATTTTCTCCTTCTTCAGAGAGAATTTAAACCACCTCTGCTGCTTTCGAGTCCCCGAGCTGTTCTGTGAATGGCAAGCAGGAAACTGCTAGCATGTTGGGCTAAATATTGTATGTCAGTTTTGGGGCCAACTCATTGTTTTTTTGGCTAAGAGCATGTAGGCAAATTATAATTAAGCTTATATTTCCCTATTTCAGTTTTACTTTAATACATGGAATATTGAGCATTATTGTATGTGCCTATTTAAGATCTTAATTTATTGTCCATCCTGCAATGAAAGAATCACATTTTTACTTGAAAAACAAAACAAAACAAAAAAACACTTGCAGCTAGTCGCTGCCATGCTGAACAGAAAAACTGTGGGTCTTAGTTCTGCAAGCTTATTTCCTACTTTTATGTAAAATAGTAATGTCTAGTCCCCGGGTATCATGATCCATGAGTTGGTATATGTGAAACATTTAGCAGAATGCCTGGCATAGAAGGAAAACACAGTGTTAACTAACACTGTTCTAATTTTGTGTAAGTACTGCGAAAGGGACTACAAAAAGAAGGAAGATATAATTCCTGTGCTTAAGCTATTTACCCACCTTTTCAGTGACCACCAAAGGATGTTATTGAAAGGTGCTGTGGCATTCGTATGGGTCTTGTCAGAAAGCTCCAATCCCAAGTAGATGGGAGACTGGGGTCCTTTCTTTAGTCCTCGAGATAAAACCCAGAGTTTCATATATTCGAGGCAAGTACTCACCACTGAGCCTTTTTAAAAGCATCTATACTTTCAGAACATATACATAGAACCAAGGAAGAAGGAGAAAGGGCACCTCCTGAACATCAGGAAAACAAACAACAACCTAAAAACCTGAACCAGTGGTAAATCATGAAATAGTGAAAAGTTTTAACATATCTTACCACAAAGCAAACTTTTAATGTTTATACCACAGATCGTTCATATTTAGGGTAACAAGGTTTATATTACTTTAATTTTTTTTTTGAACTTATCTGCCTGCCACCATGTCTGGCTTACTTTAGTTTTTTGCTATCTAATTTTCTAAATTTTTTTGCTATTCAACAGCAGCTACCTAAGAAAGGGTAGTTTTTTTTTCTAAGTTTTTTGTTTTTTTAGTTTTTCCCATTTATTTATTTTTATGCATACAAGTATTTAGCCTGCATGTTTGTCATGAGCATACTAAGTTTTGGTGCAATTCAGAAGAAAGTGTCAGACCTCTGAGACTGGAATTAAACCATTGTGTAAATGGACCACATTTTCCTTATCCATTCTTCAGCTGTGTTGGCATCTAGGTTGTTTCTACATTCTGGGTATTACTAATAATGCTGCTATGAGCATAGTTGAGCAAGTGTTCTTGTGGTATGATTGAGAATCCTTTGGGTATATGCCCAAGAGTATTACAGCTGGGTCTTTTGGTAGATTGATTTCCATTTTTCTGAGAAACCACCATATGGCTGTACAAGTTTGCACTCCCACCAGCAGTGGAGGAGTGTTCCCCTTACTGCATATCCTCTCCAGCATAAACTGTCAATTGTGTTTTTGACCTTAGCCATTTTGACAGGTGTAAGATGGAATCTCAGAGTCATTTTGATTTGCATTTCCCTGGTGGCCAAGGATGTTGAACAGTTCTTCAGGTGTTCCTCAGCTAGCACAATCTAAAATCTTGTTTAAGACATCTTTTTGTGCTCTCATGTGTCCATTAACTTGAGGCAAAAGGGATCATTCAACAGTGATATGAATCCCCTGTCTTTCTGCCATAGGCTTTTCTAGAGCAATCGTCAGATAATCTCCCTTATACACTGGAGACCCAAGTGGTGTCAGCCTCATGTGAGTGAGACTTTAAAAATTCCTTTCTGTTCTTCCACTCTTGCCTTTGGTAGTTGCTTTTGCAAAGTCACTTGAAACCTGGGGTCACTTATCCTGTGCTACCAGGATCTCCAGGGCACATTGATGTCCATGCAAGGGTCCTTGTGGGTCAATGAAAGACAACCTCAAAGGAGCCACAACAGCCATAGATACTTTGGAAGAAATGCTCTTAGAAGAGTGCTTACAGGCTGACATGGGCAACTCCTGAGAAAGGTACATCACTGGAAGTAGTAGTGTTGGGAAGCACTTTCTGAATCCTACTTTCTCTGTCGTTGATTACTTCAAATATGACGAAGGGGAAAGCCCCTCTCTCAGGGCCAGCCACACAGACCTCATACAAGACATCTGCCACTTCAGAACTTATCCCCAGAAATTTCAGGTTTCCCTTAAACTCAACAATCTAGGGTCCCAATTTCATTTCTGTTAAAGATAACACACTTTGTTACCAAAGATAACAGTGGCGATCATCCATAGACTGCAAGGACGTTTCACATCTAAAGTGATTCTCTCAGACTGACCTGCTTCACATACACTCACCTTACTCTCCAGCCTGCTGATCCAGGAAGCTTTGCTGCAGCAGAGAAACAAAAGGGGGCCCCAGATGTGTAGAGTCATTGGCTTTCCTACTTGATGTTTTGTATGTTTATTGTATGTATCTATAACTTAGCATCTGCTTTTGAACTGAGAAGAGAGGCCATTGGGATTTGTGTCAGGATAATAATACATTGTTACCCTAAATATGAATGACCTATGGATTTAAACATTAAAAGTTTGCTTTGTGGCAAGTTACATTAAAACTTTTTTTCCACTGTTTATGACTTACTACTGGTTTGGAATTTTTGTTTTTGTTTTTTTTCCCGTGTTTAGAAGGTGACTTTTCTCTTTTTTTCTCGGTTCTGTGTTTATTTTTTAAAAGGATAGCTGCCTCCCCAACCTCCTTATGATAGTGGAAGTGAACCTACATAGTGATATTGTAGAGGTGCAGACTTTGAGAGCTGAGACATCCTGGCTGCGTTTACTTTTCTACTTTGAGATAAGTGTCTTCGCAAGTTGTCCAGACTGACCTTGAACAAACTCTTTAGTGGGCTGGCCTTGAGTTGACATGCTAACAACAGTCTAGAGCAGCTCAAGCAGCTGTCCTTGTCTAGACTAGCCTCAGACTCCTGCCATAAGTGGTCTTGTGCACTACCAGTGCCACACCCAACTCAGAAGTGTGTTTTTCTTTCATCAGGGTTTGTTTCTCTGTGTAGCTCTGGTTGTCCTGAAACTCATTCTTAAGCCTGGGATTAAAGGCATGTGCTACCACTGCCTGGTACTAATTGTTTTCTTGAAGAAGTTGCTTTTGGGACTTACCATATTGGATTTGTATTAACATCCAGTTGACTTTTTTCCTTTGTCTGCACCAGTTAATAGCAGTGTTATCATTTTCACTGCAGATGCAAAGTTTACAGGGCGGTACAGAAGCTATAGCTCAGTTGGATCAGCTAGAGGCTGACTACTATGATCTGCAGCTTCAGCTGTATGAAGTACAGTTTGAAATCTTGAAGTGTGAAGAATTACTATTGACTGCACAACTGGAGAGCATCAAAAGACTTATATCAGGTATGGTATGCATTTAACCACAGACGTCCACAAAAGGTAGAGGACCTGGAGAAAGTGTACATGGATCCCAACTGTGTTTTCCTAAAACTTAAAAACGTGGTTCTTGAACTGGACTGATTTTTGTGAATTCCGCAGTTCAGGCTGCCATGTTGCTTTTGAGTATTTTTTGTAACATTCCTACTTTGTTAAAGGATGCTTCACCTGAAATCAGAAGTTTTGCAGTTTTGCATGGGTGGAGTGTGTAGAGAGAAGAGTTAGGTCTTTATTTATTGAACACTTACTGTGTACCAGACATTTAGAAATTTTGTACATTTAGCCTGAGGTCTATTTCCTCTTCTTTTAATCACTGTTTAATAAAGAAGCTTGTTCCTAACCACAACTCTGTGACAGAAAAGAGAGATGAAGTGGTGTACTACGACACTTATGAAAGCATGGAAGCCATGCTGGAGAAGGAAGAGATGGTGGCGTCTGTGCATGCGCAGAGGGAGGAGCTCCAGAAACTGCAGCAGAAGGCTCGACAGCTGGAAGCAAGAAGGGGGCGGGTCTCAGCCAAGAAAGCCTACCTCAGAAACAAAAAGGTATGCAGCCCTTGTTTGCAGTGGAATCGTGATGATTTATCATCATTGCTTCCGGTTTTAAATCTTAATAGCCATTACCTCTTCTCAGCTTCTTACATTAAACATTTGTGTTTCTCTGAGGGTTGACCTCTGACATATGTCCTAACAGCCAGTGTTGGTTGTATTCTACCTGTTCTGAGGATGACTCACTAAAGGACATGGCTACAGGCTCCCCTGCAGTGCATTGAAATGATTGGTGATGTCAGTATCCTTAGTCTTCTCTAGTGAGGTTGGAGTGTTAAGAGAGTGGACAGAGGTACCATGGTTAGGGTAGACAGATCTTAGTGGCCAATTCTGAATCTCTGGACATGTATGATGGGTTTTAGTGGTTTATGGTAAAGGAGGGAGGAGCTAGTCCTCATTACTCTGTGCTTCTGAATAAAATGAGTAGATAAACTTTGGCTCCATCTAAGTCTCACTTTTAATTAAAACACATTTTATGTTTTTTTTATTTTTCTAGGAAATTTGTATTGCAAAACACAATGAAAAGTTCCAGCAGCGTTTTCAGAGTGAAGATGAGTATAGAGCCCATCACACAGCACAACTAGTAAGTCAGGAGACTTGGAACAAAATCTTACATGTGTCTGAAAGGGGTAAAAAAACCCAGAGTGTGAGAATTGTGTCACTAGATGTTAGTGACTGTGAATGTATATAAATAAATGAATGAATGAATGGATGAATAAATGGTTGTTTGCTTAGTTTTTTTTTTGTTTGTTTTGTTTTTGTTTTTTTTGGTTTTTTGGTTTGGTCGTTTTTTTTTTCCCCCCCTCAAGACATGGTTTCTCTGTAGCAGTCCTGGCTGTCTTGGAACTTGTTTTATAGACCAGGCTGCCCTCAAACTCACTGAGATCTACCTGTCTCTGCCTCCCAAGTGCTGGGATTAAAGGCGTGTGCCACCAAAGTTGGGCATGAATGACTATTTGTATGAATAAATGAAAGAGATCTAGTTTAGAAAAAAATTAATGGTAAGTACAATAGTTCCATGTACCACTCCTAGCTGCACCTCCAGCTCTTTCTGTACCGTGTGTCACAGTTGGCAGCAAGTCAGTGTTGGCACGTCATTGCTGTCCAAAGTCTGTGGATTGTGTTGGAGTTCTTTCCTGGTGTTGTGAGGGCTTGATGTATTTATTTCACTTAGTAAGGCAGATGTAAGGTTTTGATTGTTGAACTGTGGGGTAAGAATAAATGTGCTAGTTTGCACTTAGCAATAAATGAGAGCTCTACATTGTCATACCCTCTCCAGCTTTTGCTCTTGTGAGAATGGTAGCTGTTCTAATGGATAGTAGTGTCTTAATGGTTTTAGTTCATATTCCTAGATGGCATGGTGCTGAGCATGGCTTTTATATGCTCATCTGCCCCATGTGTATTTTCTCTAGTAAAGTGCTTGTTCAGACTCCTTGCTCATCTTTTTGGGTTGTTTGAGTCTGATAGGGTTTCATGTGGAGCATGTGAAGTCCTGTGTAGCTGACCCTCCGCCTCCACCTCCCAGGTACAGGCGTGCACCAGCACTGTTGTTCACTTGGAATTAAGCTTTTCCGGTCTTGTTAAAAGTCCTTTATCAAGTGTCTTTTGCTTAACCTCTCATTCTCTAAACACTCCTTTTCAGAGCTTTTACTTGGAGCAATATCCAAACTCACTGTTGTTGTTGTTTTCTGCTTTGCATTTTACAGTTAGATCTACGACCTGTTGTGAGTTAAATGTCATGGGCTGGCTAAGGTCATTGTTTGCATTCTCTGTTGGCATGTGCATGTCCATGTCCACTTGCTTCAGTTCCGCCGTCCAGCAGACCGTTCCACTGCACCGCTTTTGCCCTTTAGTCAAAGGCCGGAGTTTTTTGTCTCCATGGGTCTGTTTGGAGACTGTTGTATTAATGTATGTGTTTTAACCTCTAGATCAAATTGAGAAGAAGTAATCTATTTTTACTGAGTTTTACTGAATATATACAAGGACTATTTAATTTTCTTATTTCATTTATCAGAGTTTTATTGTTTTCTTCATTTAAATCTTGTAATGTGATAGATTTTTGTCTTTGTGGGGATTAGCAGTGTTTCATATTTAATTTCAAATTCTTGTTGGTGGACTAGGAATTGTTCAGAGCATCTCTGTTCTAATGTTCTACTGTTGTTTTATGTTGGTTTTCTTCTCTGCTTTCTATGTAGTTTTATTTCTTGCCAATGTGTGTAACTATTTCCTTTTCTTGTCTTACGGCGTTAACTTGGATGAGGGGAAACACACCCTTTTCCAGTTAACAGAGAGCTCTAGCTTCGTAGCATGTGAGATGTCATGTCTTCCTAGGCTGCTGAGATAACCATTTATTTTATGTGAGCTACATCTTCCTTGTCATCATCGCACTTCATCTCACTCGCATACAGTGAGTTCTCCAGTTTGCTATATCCATATTTAGTCAACACAAAAATCTTATGAGTTACTGAATATCAAAGATGTTAGCATGACTATTTCTCCCTCCTTGCTTGTTGTAAAGCTTCTTTTCTTTCTTTAGCATCACCAAAGGTCAGTGGACTTGTGTTCATTTCTAGTTCTTTGAGCTAATTTGGTGCAGTTGAACTGAAGCTGCCCCTTATTATCATAATTACACGGGGATCTGTCACTTATCCTTAAACTATATGGCTCTTTCTCTTAGAAGCCAGAAAAAAGCAAATTAATGAATGCCCTTTGTTTTTCACCTTGTCTGTGGGTCAGAAAGTGTTGTGTCTGGTTAGGCAGGGATCAGATGGGGAGTAAGCATGCCCTGCTTATTTGTTCCTGGGTGATTAGCTTCATTACTGACATTCTACTCACAGATTTGTTTATTTGATGTGATTATTCTGGTTTCTGATAAAATGCCAGTATTTTAATGGATTAAGTAATTTATTTGTTGCTTAAAGAATTTATGAAGACAAAGAGAGGTAAAATAAATAAAAAACTACAGGATTCTCAGAGATAATTGTTATCTTAAAAATGAGCAGACATCAGCATTATATAGAATACCTGATGAGACAGAGGAAAACAGTAGCAAAGTAACTCTTTCTAAAACATTTATAGCTCAGGGGAAAGGAGAGTTGTTTTCAGGCATGTTCATTTTGAATTATCTTAAAAATCAAATTCAAGCATACCATCATCTCCCTCCATCTCATAATGCTGTAAGTTTACATTTTTTATGTTGGATCTTAGAACTGCCTTGGATGCATGCAACTTCATTTGTCTCATAAGCCTCAGGTTGTGAGTGCCCAGAGCCTTAGATTACAGTTGTTTATTGTCTCACAAAGCCTGTTTTGAAGTTGAAGTTATCTTTATTGGAATTTCTTGGGTGATATATTATTTCAAATATAACTTTCTAATAGATTAATTTTATTGTTTTAACAGTTTTCCATAGAAACCATGCAAATTAAATATGCAGGTCTAAGGTGGTCTAACATCTAATATTAATTTTAAAAAAATGAGCTGAAGAAAGCACGGTGTTTACTTGCTGAACATTACCACCCCTGACAAATGGTAAACAAGAAAATTGTGATTAGAAAAAAAGTTATTTTTCCCGTTAAAAATATCCCTCACAGAATTATATGGTGATACACAACTATAGTTCTAGGACTTGGCAGACAACGGCAGGGAGGTTACTGAAAAATTGAGGCCAGCATGGACTACACAGAAAGACTGGTTTAAAACCAAGACAACATGGGCCTGGTGGCATATACCTTTAATCTTGGCAGCACTCCGGAAACTGACACATGAGGGGTCCATATTTGAGACCAGGTGTGGCTTCAGGCATGAGAGCCTGGTAAAACTGAAAATGTTGAAAGCTCATACCAGGCTGGGATACAGATGAGTGTCTTGATGAGCCCTCCCCAGAGCAGCTGCTGCTTCTTAGTAGATAGGAATGAACAAAGAGACCCACAGCTGGACAGCAAGGGCCTCTGGGGCACTCAGTCCTCTGTGGCTGTTCTCTTCAGAGCCCCCTCAAAGGTTCTTCCAGATATAACAGGACGGACGCACTTAGGAATGGACAGAGACTGTGGCGGCACTCTCAGACATGCACAGGCTCAAGCCAGGTAGGGTCTCCACTGGGAAGGGGAAGTGGATTTGGGTCCCACCCTAACCAAGAAACCGTCGGCAATTGATACTTCCTGGCAAAGGAAAAGTCATTAATCATTCCCACTGGGTATATCAACCACGCTCTCCATGTTCTGACTATGCCATAGCCAATCCCTATTCTCAGATTCTTTTTCCCCTTTTTTTCTTTTTTTGATTTTGGTTTTTTGAGACAGGGTTTCTGGCTGTTCTGGAACTCACTCTGTAGACCAGGTTGGGCTTGAACTCACAGAGATCCACCTGCCTCTGCCTCCCAAGTGCTGAGATTAAAGGCGTGAACCACTACCACCCTATTCAGATTATTTTATCACAGTGCATTATTGGGCTGGCAAGATGGCTCGGGGAGTAAAAGTGTTTGCCATGAGTCTGATGACTTGAGTTGATGCCTCAGGTCCTACAGTGGAATGAAAGAACTGACTCTAAAGTTATCTTCTGACCTCCACTGGCATTGTGGTTACTGACGTGTACTCCAGGCCTGACATTTAGGGGCTGTGCTCTTAGAGACAGTACTTACCACATTAGGTTTTAGGTTATAAACATTATACTTCTCCAAACAGCCTTGCCACTTCATATCTCTCAAGCCAGATTTAGATGCTAACAGACTTGACTTTGAATATACCAGCTGACAGATCAGCAGCATGATTAGTTCATTCTTCTGAACTCTGTCCATCTGACGGGGAGGGGGGCAGGATGCAGGCTCACAGCGGAATCTCCATTCAGGTCTCTTGGATGATAGTTTTTTCTTAGCCATCTCACCACCAGTGCTGTAGAAAACACTTCTGTAAGCAGAGAGATCTATTCACTGCTCTTCTGCAAGCTTCAGAGTCTGCTCTCTTGGGAATTCATGGCATGTATCTGGATGTAGGAGAATGCAAGCTGACCCCCATATTCTAGGTGGTTGCCAGATGTCCACTAGGCTGGGAAAGTTCCTTCATTGACCAACTTATTGGAGGGTAAACATTTTAGCTGTGGAACAGAAGTATGGAGAGCAGGGGGGCAGTAGGTGGGGTGTAGTCTTAATTCGATGTTCTTAAGCAGTTCTGGACTTTGCTATCCAAGGAAGAAGGTATGTCTGGAGCTTTACAATGTACTTTTTCAGTTTTTAAAGACAGGGTTTTTCTGTGGCTTTGGAGCCTATAGACCAGGCTGGTTTCAAACTCACAGAGATCCACTTGTCTCTGTCTCCCAGGACTGGAATTAAAGGCATGCACCACTACTGTCCAGCTTTATATTTACTTCTATTGTGGAGTTTAAGGCAGTTTTTCTCTTTGTTTTCCTATCTGGAAATCTTGAAGATGATGTAGTGAGTCTGTATCTGAGACTTAGGAAGAGAGGCCTGACTTTTGTATCTAGTAGTAAGTGACTCAGCTAATGTAATTCAAGTGTGCTGTTTTTTAATCATTCATAATTCCTTGTCCCTTGCCATATTCTATAGAACTAATGTTTATCCAAAGGATCTGCCTCACTACCAGATTCCCTAATAATCAAATGAATCTGTCACCTTCCCTTCAATCAAACAGTTAATAAAACACTACTTCAAACTGTTCATCCTCCTGCCAAGAGTGTCATTTAGAGTCATGACGCTGTTTGAAGCTTGCTATACTTGCTATTTGCCTGCACGTTTAAGAACTTTATTCATTCATGGGTTAAACCCACTGTTCTAAAGTTAGTGTCTGTTATCAAAGTTCCTTCTTGCCACATATCTAGGTATCTTAAGTTTGTCCATTCTGCTCCCTAACCCAGACCTCTTTTCTCTTGCTTTCCCAATCTAAAGGGTGGCATTTTATCCTCTGCTTCATTATTGGCCAAATTAGACAACTTGTACTTTTCTTTCTCACCATGGTGATGCTTCAGCGTACAGATCCCATGTTGGTTAAACTTGTGTCCTGCCTCTGTGGAGAAATCCCCACTCTAACTGATCAGAATGCATGCCTGTGAATTCAAGGCCAACCTGAAGTCTGTTGTGAGACCTTGTATCAAAAAACCAGGATTGTGGTTCAGTAAAGCCCTGACCTAGCATGAGATAAAAGAAAAAGGAGGCCAGCCCCACCCTTTTCCTGATGTGTAATGTAGTGTGCAGTTGACTTATAAATCAGTAAATGACTGGAATTAGTTGTTCTTAAACAGACTCTTACTACTTTGGATATTTTAACAGGTTACATGACTTTTTCTAGTGCATGACTTTGAATGTTTCTTGTATAAGTAAGTTTTACCCTTTCTGTGTTTTATGTCTGTGTATAAATTTTGACCATACATCAGATATTAACAGCTGGGTGGTGGCGGCATACTTTAATCCCAGTGGATAGTTACACAGAGAAACCCTGTCTAGGAAAAGAAAAAGATTTAAGTTTATTATAAAGTTTTGATTTAACCTCTTGACAGACTCTGCTTTACGCAGAGTCTGTCTGAATCAGTTGAAAACCTTATTGTGTATAATGTATAAAGTGATACATGATCATCATAGGAGAATAAATTAATTGTTGCTACTTTGAGCAAGACGCCTTATTCGTGACTCTGAAAGAACTATTAGAATTTTACAGAGTGTTGGGACCAGTGCATCGGGCTGTGGAAAGGAAAGCAACTGCTGCTGCCCTGCTTTCTCACAGCCCCCTTTCCAGTCAGTATGCTGTGCATTTGGATGTGAGCATACCAGAAAACTTCTATGTGGTCATTCGTGTCTCTCAGGCGCTAAGATTCAGTTTTAGAATTAAGCAAGTTCATTGCTTATCAGCAGTCATCTGCTGCTTACTTCTTTATTTCCAAATATATTTTGTTCCTTTTGGAGTGGTTAAGGTTTCATTAAGGTACTGTTTAAGGAAAGTGCTCTGATATTTTCTTAATTCTTGCATGTTTGTGGAATGTTTTCTTGTTAGTTTTCTGATAGACTAGACTGGCCTTGTTCACAAGAATCTCTCTGTCTTGGCTTCTCAAGTCTTGTAGTTAATGTATCTCCCCATGCCTTGGCTGTGTGTGGGGTGGGGAGGATGTACACATGCACACGGGAGCTGTCTTGGATGCTGGAGGTCAGTGTCAGTTGTCCTTCTCAGCCACTCTCACTCCACCTGTCTGTGACCTAGCAGTTCACTGGCTTGGCTAGACTAGCTGGCTGGCCAGCAGGCTCCAGGAACATGGTTTTTGCATGGCTTCTCAGGGCTCGTGGTTTGCAATATGAACTCTGCTGACTAAGCCATCTCTGCAGTCCCACAGCTCCTTTTTTTTCTTTCTTCCTTTCTTTCGGTTTGGTTTGGTTTGTTTGTTTTGACATAAGGTCTCTGTACATAGCCCTGCTGTCCTGGAACTCACTCTGTAGACCAGGCTGGCCACAGATTCAGAGACCCTCCTGCCTCTGCCTCCCAAGTGCTGGAATCAAAGGTGCGTTTGTTTTGTTTTACCAGAAGAGAGAAAAATTACATGATGAAGAGGAAAGAAAAAGTGCCTGGGTTAGCCAAGAGAGACAGAGGACCTTGGATAGACTTCGGACATTTAAGCAGGTAATAGAAACACACTCTTTTGATTGGTTTTCATTGCTTTTCAGAGAGAGCCACTCTATTAGAAGATTTCAGTTTAGAATGTAGTCCATCCATAGGTGGTTCCCTTTCCTGTGACTGAGTCAAACAGTAATATTCTTTTGACCCCTGGTGTACAACTTCAGGAGTATAAACAATGGACAAAGTGTCAAGAAAGCCTGAATTGTATTTAATCAAAAAAACTTCAGTGCACTCTCCCCCTTCTATCATGATATCATTATCAGGCATTTTTTAAAAGTGCCTTGCAACCCCCCCCCACCTTTTTTTTAAAGGTTTCAGCTTTTTTTATATATATAAGAATTTGAAAATAAACAGTAATAGTTTCTTGGCTTCCAAGTACTAGTCATATATAGATAGAGACTGTCTTGAGTTTTATATACTGTTTTTTCCATTGAAGAGTTAAAGTTATGTAGCTGGTTTTCTTTTTTGCTTATGAGATTATATATATATCTTGCCTTGGCTAGACTAGAATGTATGTAGACCAGGCTGGCCTCAAATTCATAGTTATCCGCCTGTCTCTGGGATTAAAGGCAAGTGCACCCTAGTGCCCTACACATGATGTTTTTAAGCAATTGGCTTAATTGGGTAAGAGGGAACAGGATTTATTATCTGATAGCAGATGATAATTGTTTGAAAGGTACTGAAAGTTTAGGCATTGTGTTAAAAGAGCAGAATCAGTAAGCATTGGTTGGCAGTTATTTTAATATAACATACTTACACAATAACTCTGGTATTTCAGAGGTACCCTGGGCAGGTCACCCTTAAATCAACCAGACTAAGAGCAGCTCATGGCAGAAGAAGAAGTCCAGCGAGTCCCGTGCCCTGTGACCAGCAGTGTGCCTCTCTAGCAGGAGAGCCGCAAGGAGAGGAGGAGAAGGCTGAGGTTGGGGAAGGAAGAAGCCAGCATGAGTCTTCAGAGGCGGCGGAGCCCCGGAGCCTTGCCCATCCTGAAGGCTCTTCATCAGGACAACTTGAAGCCACTTCATTACCTCCCAGTGCCGTTACCTCTGGACTGCCTCCCCCGCCATCACTTCCCCCTTTGACCAGTAATGACCTCAAACCGTGTCCTGCTACAGTGGATCCACTTCCACCCCCTCTTCCTCCGCCCCCGCCCCCACCCCCACCCCCGCCCCCGCCCCCACCTCTGCCTGTTGCAAGGGACAATGGTGCCACCACCACTTCAGAGACACTGGAGAAAGACGCACTTAGAAAGGAGGGCAGCGAGAAGAGGATCCCAAAGTCAGCCAGCGCCCCGTCAGCACAGCTCTTTGACAGCAGCCAGCTGGTCAGCGCCCGGAAGAAGCTCCGGAAGACTGCTGAAGGGTTACAGAGGAGGAGAGGTGAGTGGACAGGACCTCTCTGACTCTGGTGTAAAGTGAAGCCCGGGGAAGGAGCTTTGCATTGAATTCTGTGTTGCAAAGCCTTAGAGACTGTTTTTGAACGTGATTGATAGCAAACAGGCACTCAAGGTCACAGCAGAGAATTCTTATCGTCTCACTGCACGTGCTTGCAAATGTTTACCTTCTCCTGAGCTGTTAGGCATGTTGTTAAAATATCCAAGTGACATTTGGCCTGTTTGTTAGGTAGTACTTTTTGTGTTAGGAAAAACAACTCTGATTTTTTTAAACTTGAATGGTAAACTGTGCCTGACTGGAGAGTCTAGCATAGTGGTGGAGCTCATATGCTATTGATGATGGTGGTGATGATTATATCATATATAAAAAAGGGTATGAAGCCATTAACAAGATCACAGTTTAATATTGAACACTTAAGAGTGTTCTTACAGTTTTTGGTTGTGAGCCTAGCCTTTATTGGCTGAGCCATCTTTCCAGCCCTAATATTGAAGACTTAAGAATTCTTATATAAAAAGACAAGAGCAGGAGGTTATGTGTAATTTATCACATGTCCAATATACCTCAGTAAAGTCATTTCTAAAAATAACACATTTTTTTGCCTTTGAGGAATTTTCAGTTTGCATGGGGCAAATAATACACTACACTACACACACAAATAGATAAGACACACACACACACACTGTAATCTTGGTTCATTGTTGCTGTGCTTTTTCATTTAGTTACTTCACATATGAGATATTTTACAAGATATTCTCAGATTAATATGTAATATGCTCTGTATTATTTGCCCCATGCAACAATGAACCAAGAGTAAAGTGTGTGTGTGTGTGTGTGTGTAGCCACAGTCAATTTGAGTATCTTCCTCAACTGCTCTCTGCCTTACTTTTTGAGACAAGGTCTCACTGAACCTGGAGCTTACCATTTCAGCTAGACTAGCTAACCAGTAACCCCACTTCAATACCTCAGGCACCACTTGTCACCATGCACTTCCCAGGGATGTACCACTGCGTCTAGCTTTTATATGAATGTTGAGAATCTGAACTCAGATCCTCCTCTCAACAACAGCAAAGATGCTACCCACTGAGGTGTCTTCCAGCTCCATTAAAAAACAGAACAAACAAAAACAGGGCGGTGGTGATTCATGCCTTTAATCCCAGCACTCAGGAGGCAGAGGCAGGTGGATCTCTGTGAGTTTAAGGCCAGCCTGGGCCGGGTGTTGGTGGCGCATGCCTTTAATCCCAGCACTTGGGAGGCAGAGGCAGGCGGATCACTGTGAGTTCGAGACCAGCCTGGTCTACTGAGCGAGTTCCAGGACAGCCTCCAAAGCCACAGAGAAACCCTGTCTTGAAAAAAACCAAAAGAAAAAAAAAAGAAAAAAAAAAAAGGCCAGCCTGATCTACAGAGCAAGTTGCAAGTTCCAGGACAGCCAGGGATACACACAGAGAAGCTCTGTCTTGAAAACGAATTGATTAATTGACTAATTAAATATAACCAATCATTACCTTACTTTGGGTTGGTGGTGGATGCAATATGGGGGTCCTTTGGGAATCTATCATATCAAGACCATTTCCCAGCTTTATCGGAGGTCACAACGTTTGATGTTAAACACAATCATCCTAACTCTGATTGTTTATTTTGTTTTCCAAAGTGAGTTCACCCATGGATGAAGTGTTAGCATCTTTGAAGCGTGGTAGTTTTCATCTGAAAAAGGTTGAACAGCGGACTCTGCCTCCTTTTCCTGATGAAGATGATAGTAATAATATCTTGGCACAGATAAGGAAAGGGGTGAAATTGAAGAAGGTTCAGAAGGAGGTTTTGAGAGAATCCTTCACACTCCTGCCTGACACAGACCCTCTGACGCGGAGCATCCATGAAGCACTAAGAAGAATTAAAGAAGCATCCCCAGAGTCGGAGGAGGAGGATGAAGCTTTACCTTGCACAGACTGGGAGAACTAGCAGGTAAACGACCTGCTGTCTTTGGTAGCACAAGCCAGCTATCCAGCTTCTACGTTGGCCGATGAGCTCCAGCGTATCTTCTTGTCTGTGGCCTGTTCATTATGTGGCTCAGATAACGTCAATTCCAGGTTTTAACTACAAAGCATTGTTTTATTTCCACCTGGATATTTGATTTGCTTAGTGTAATCATATAGTGATATTGATGGTATGTTTCTAGAGGCACATTCTGTATCAGTGGTTTGTTTTTATCAATGCTTGGTTACTGTATGTACCTTTTAGAGTAGGGTCTGTCTGTATCCAGGCTGCTCTGGAACTCTGTGTGACTCTCTTGCCTCGTGGTGGCCATCACACCTGGCCAGGAAAGTGTTTTGTTCTTTATTTCTGATTTTGTGTGTACGTGTGTGTCTGCATCAGGTTTGTGTACATGGATGCGGTACCCACAAGAGACCAGAAAAGAGCATTGGATCCTTTTTCAGGCAGTTGTGAGCCTGAACACATGTCCTAGGAACTCATTTCAGGGCCTCTTGCAGAGTGCCAGGAGCACTTAATCACTAAGCCTTTCTCCAGCCCCAGAAGGCTTTCAAAGGCAGTGGCCACGGAAATGCTGTATGATTGGTTGTTTTCAATCTTGCTTATTAAAAATATCTGCAGTGTAGTTATATTCCAAGTAAAGAGACAGTCTTATTTTTATCTTCACCAGAAAAGCCTTTTTAACTGAACTACTTAAATTAGGCATATTGAAATTTGATCCTTTCTCCTTTCTTAACTGCTTATAATTATTACATGGCTTTCTAAATACTGAAAACTATTCAGTCAAACCACTGTTCCTTTGTTGTCATAATAAACATAGTTACATTTATAAATACAAGTTATAATCATCTTGAGTCCTCTGCACGATAAGATTGTATTTGGTTATACATATACATCCTGATACTTGAAGTCTGCTGCTTGCTTGCTTCTCTCCTTATTTTGTTTTTAAGATGGGCCACGCCATGTAGCTTTAGCTGGTCTGGCACTTGCCTCTGTCTCCCTGAGTGCTGGAATTAAAGGTGTGTGCCACCAAGCCCTCTGCTGCTTTTAAATCGCAGAAGTTACACTATGTTAAAAGAATAAAGCAGTTGTGGCATATGCTGTAAGTTATATAGTTAAAGGATTGGCAGTGGGTTCAGCTAAAATAAGATAATATGTGCAAAATGTAACATGTTCTGATTTCTGATAGACTCCGTGGTATTTATTCAGACAGAAAGACTTAACTAGACTTGGTTGTGCAGTTCTGCAATAAATACCCAGGCAATGTTCAGTATGTGGAGGCAGAAGGACCATGAATTTGAAGCCAGCTACGATTACATATTAAAACAAAAAAGCAAACCCCAAGAGGGAATACTCTTTCTAAAGGGGATATATGCAAGATAGGTTTTTTTTTAAAGCCAGGTATGGTGGCACACATCTTTAATCCTAGCACTCAGAGGCAGAGGCAGGAGGATCTCTGTGAGTTCAGTTGAGCTTGGTCCACAGAGTGATCTCCAGGACAGCCAGACTCTGTCTCAAGGAAGTGGAAGATAACTTATTTTTAAGTGATTTTCTAGCATGGACATATCCAGGATATATCTTTGAATGGGAAGGTATACAGTGATCCTGACTATATAGGATCTTAAGAATAGCCTAAGTTATTTACTAAGTGTGGATTCCTGTCTTTGACTCCAGTCTAACTAAATGGATTTTTTTTTTTTTTTTTTTTTTTTGGTTTTTTGAGACAGGGTTTCTCTGTATTGTTTTGGAGACTGCCCTGGAACTCGCTCGGTAGACCAGGCTGGCCTCGAACTCACAGAGATCCGCCTGCCTCTGCCTCCTGAGTGCTGGGATTAAAGGCGTGCGCCACCAATGCCCGGCCTAAATGGATATTTAATGTATCTGCTAAGCACAATGAAATGTGACCAAGTCAAATAGAGCATTACTACTAAAGCACTTCTGCCTTTTCCTCTTGGACCCAGGAAAGGAGGAAATGCTGTCAGGTCCCTCTGCATCAATGTCTGTCTCAAGCTTCACAAGGTTTCTACCACCTTCTCTATAGTACATTGTCGTGTGTTATCTAACCTTTGATTCAGCCACTGTGGGTTCTGACTGGTGTTCTCTGTTGTTGCAGTTCCTCTTAATTACTTTATAGGGAAACCCTGGCATTTATTTCCTTAGAGAAATGTAGAGGAAGATAAGTATCAGTATTTCTAACTAATGGGCTAATATTCAGAGACTCAATTGTCTTTCACAGTAGATGCTTCCAGATCATTTCCCTCCTTACAGCTCTTGCTCCTGCTGAATTGCCTCCTGCTGAGCTACCCCCTGCCTGCCCCATTTTTTCCAAGACAAGGTTTCTCTGTGTAGCTTTGGAGCCCTGTAGATCAGGCTGGCCTTGAACTCACAGAGATCCCCCTGCCTCTGCCTCCTGCATGCTGGAACTAAAGATACCACCACCACCTGTCAGTAGTTTCTCTTGCCATTTAACCCTGTATCTCACCCACTCACTGCTGATTGGATAACTCCACAACTATATTTGTATGAAATGAATTTTGTTTTTACCTCTTAAAATATAGACATCGCTGGGCTGAAGAGATGGCTCATTGGTTAAGAGCACTGTACACTCTTCCAGAGGCCTTATGTACAAGTTCCAGTATCTCCATGGCAGCAGTCACAGGGGATCTGCTGCCCTCTTCTGGCCCCCACAGGCACTGCAGGCGCATGGTGCATACATTCTCAGGCACTCATACACACAAAATAAAACTAAATAATAAAAATTATAGACATTTTTGAAGGAAATCCTATACCATTAATTGTATAGGTGATTATTACAAGAAAAAAAGTAATTGCAGATATTTTAAAAGCTATGAGGAAACAAACATATACCCTACCTTTAAGAGGCATATTGTCCTAACACATTGTGTCATTTTGTTTACTAACAGGTGACTTAACAGAAAGAAGAAAATTCCCGTGAATGAAGACTGGGTCTGATTCTTTTTGGGGAAAAGTTTAAGCTCTTGGTCCCATATTGGATTCCATTAGACCCTGAGTATATTGGCAAAGTGATGTGGAAACAAGGAGGCGCAATCGGAGGACATTACTGTTGAGTCGCTCTCACTGGTAGTGCTGACGTCAGTTTTATATGTGCAATGCTCCTGACTGCCGTGAGAAGGCTTCCTGAAGACGCCTGTCTAACACACCTTCCCTTCCCGTCTGCCCATCCGTGATCTCACAGTGGCCAGTCACACTAGGGGTCACTATGAACTAGAAGAACACTGGGTTGGCAGAGTTGTACTCTGTGAGCTACTTTGGGATTCATCTTTCAGTGAACTGAGAAGATACTTGCTGAAGCAGCTGCTCCCACGTCAGCTTCTAGAATAGAGTGACATGCTACAGAGGACACTTGTCATAGCACTTACAGTCAGGAATTAAAAGGAAACAACATGGAATACACTTAAGATTTCCACATTTTCCATCTCCAGAGATGTTCAGTATCTGAGAAGCTAATGGAGATAAACCCATTAATGTGTGCACCAAACATTTTTTAGAGGCCATCGTCTTACATTTTGTAAGAGTTTGAAGTTAAAATTTCCATGCCTTTAAAATAGTGTTTCATAATTCTAAATTTAGAATAGTTTGAATTTTATGTGCACCGTTTATGAGAAACAATGCTTCATAGTTTGATAATGTTTCAAATTATTTTTAGTCTTTTTGTTTGAACTACTGCTTGATTACTATAACTCATGACTTTCCTATTGAATCAAAATGAGGATTCAACAGTAGGGATACAGATTTACGACTCTTTACATCATGCACCAGTTTTAAGTTTTTATTGTTGTGCTCCATGGTGAAGAGCCTGTGCTCAGTAAAGGTCCACAAGACAGCCATTCCCAAAAGCTTCCCACTGGCATTCACTATTTTCTTAGGATTTGGATGGGCTTTAGGGGAGCACTTGTTGCTGTCACTAAATCTTTAAACTTAGATACTTAGGTCGAGTGCTGACTTAGGTGTATCTTAAAGGGTTCATTTATGAGTGGAGCTGGCATGCTTGTCAGTGGGATTGTGTGGACATGCATGAGGGGAGATGGCTGGGCCGCTTTCAGCACATTGCAGTGTGTGCTGATGATGAAGATAGATCTTGGCTTTATATGGAGGAATTAAAATACCAAAAAGGACTTCATCCCTAGAGAGTTCTTCCCCAGCTTAGCCCAGAAACCATCCTCGAGTGAAAGCACCTCATGTCCACCACTGGTTTCCTCTAGGAACACAGCTACTTTTCTTGTCATTTTTAAGAGATATTTTTCTTTAAATTAATTATGGGGAAAAAAGTCTGTCGATGGGTTAAAGTAAACCAAATCTTTGCACTTAAGTATCCGTACCATCTTTATTGATGAGACTGTCAGCTTTTGTAGCATTTTATTTATATATTGGTTTCAGTCCTAGCACAATTCCCATATCTTCTCTGGGACAATTAAAACAGCCCTGATATACAAACCTCACCCCAAGATGATAATGTGGGTCCTGTATACCCCAGTAAAGCATCAGCATGTGTTGAACCCCAAGAGTCATTAGCTAGATAAAAAAAATTAGAAAAGTTGCACAGTTCACAAGCTTCCTAAAAATTGCCCATCACTTATACACTTCCAATATTAAAGATCCACGTATCAGTGTTATATTCATCCTGTGTTTTTATTTATTTACTTTTGAGACCAGGTCTTGTTCCGGAGCCCTTGCCGTGCAGACTGGATTTGCAGCCGCCTCCTGCCTTTTCCCTCTCCAGTGCTGGGATTGAGCTGGTGTCAAGGTGCCTGGCTCCATTTTTTCCTGTCTTTAAAGATTCTTTTTTTTTTTTTTTTAATTATGTATGTTTCCAGAGGCTCTTGCCTGGAGCTAGATTTACAGATCCCTCACATGGGTGCTGGGAATCACACTTAAGTCCTCTGAAGGAGCCATTCATGCTCCTAACCCTTGAGCTATTTCTCCAGCCCATTTTTCTTTTAAACTTTAGGAAAATATGACATATAATGTTCAATTAGCAGTAGCCATTGTGTTGTAATCAGTCTTAGCACCAAACTCCTGGCCTTTTTAGATGGGGACCACAGCAGCTCTTGGCTCACCTGTCATAGCTCTCCAGGAATGACTTTATTCTTGACAATCCCCGGCTAGAGCACCGGGACCCTTCAGCCCATTTTCAAGCAAATGGTTTTCTCCCAGCATGCTGGCTTTCCTGCCTCAAGATTCTAGTTCTTGTACTGGAATGTGGCTCAGGAGTACGGTTCAAGGCTTATGTTCCATCTGTAGCATTGCCTCCTAACCCCCAAGAAAATACTTCTACTTGATAAAATCACACCCCATTGGAGTTATCCACAATAATTTAAAATTAGTATACAGGTATTCAATAAATCACTAGATTCAGAGCCCCAGAAAAATAGCAATAAGTATGGTTTTTTGTTTGTTTGTTTGTTTGTTTTCCTCTTCTATTTTAGTTCCCTAGACAATAAAACAAGGACCTTTGGCTTAATATTGGAAGAAGTCAGTAGACCAGAAGTGATGAGCTCTGGCCTTCATAGTACAGCCATATGTTTAGTTATCATGGCACTCACAGTCAATGCTTCTACAGTTACCCCTACTGTGTCATTCAGTATCCACAGACCCTGCTTGTTTGTGCTGTTCCCAAATACTGTATATTGAAGACAGGAAACAAGTAGATGACTTGGGGATGCTTAACTTAGTGTTATCATTCATATTGGAATGTCAATTTCAAATATTCAAATACAACCGAAATTGTTTAATAGCCAATGTAATATGTATACAGAAAGGTATCTCTGATGATTTAAAGTCCTAATTGTATTTTAGCAGTAAGAAATTGCTGGAGAACGAGGACTTTAGGAGATAAGCAATGACCTTATTTCAGGATTGCTTTACAGGGGGTATGGAGTTCAGAAAAACAATCATTCCTTAGCTGTTCATTGCACTTAAACTTTTTTTCCCTGAGACAGACAGTAGCCCTGACTGTCCTGGAACTCACTCTGCAGAACCAGGCTGGCATTGAACTCAGAGATCCACCTCCCTCTGCTTCTTTGAGTACTGGGACTATAGATTTGCACCATGACACGTCATACCAATTTCATTTTTAAAAAAGACACTGGTGTGGTGGCCTTTTTTGTAATGAACACTCACTAGTCTACCATGTGTTTGGAGGTTTCTTTTCTACAAATCTGAATGTAGAACGATACTTGGTACCACAGTATGTCCTAAATTGTACAATGTATCATAGACACCCCACACTAAGAATTTGAAGTCCAGTAGGATGCAGCCTCACAGGCAGCATCCATGTTGCACAGACACACACATTGATGCAGTTGCATTCTCTATACTCCCTGAGACTTCTTTTTGGGACTCATTCACAGGATGCATTTGTATTTATTTAAATCAGTGCTTTTAGTCTAGCTTTGTAATATGCTCATCACCAGAAACCAATCTGCATAGTGACTTTGGGTCTTTAGCAGACCTGTCAGGGAGTTTTGAGGTTATATTTTTACCAGGTAAAAGAGAATAACTAAGAAATTCTGACCAACTGCAGAACATTGCAGACAGCTGCAGATAGCTTAAGACAGCCATTTGACGGGAAGTGGAGACTTTAGCTTTTGTTCATTTTTGCACTGAATATAAATGATTATATAATACTAAATGTGCATATTGAACACTTTACTTGTGCGTGGCAATGCCAGTGACCATCGAGACTTGTTTTAGGTGGAAGGGAAGGGTGAGGGAGTAGAAGCACCTTACTCTTGAGCATATAACATTATGTCTTCTACTGAACACCCATAGTCATGCCTGAACTTCCCTTTTTTGTTAAAGCACATTAAAATTCTGCCTAATTGCTTTGGAAAGTGAAGCAATGATATTTTTTATCCTATAAATATAATGTAACTTAAAAAGTTTTCATACAAAATGAGTTTATATCCTTGTCTAATCTGTCATGTATTTAAACAGAGGCTTTTAACAGTGGGAGGCACAGAGAGCGAGAGAGAATGTGTGTCTACTAAATGTTCCTTGAGTTATGTTAAAGATGCTATTATTTTAAATTTTCATTTTGCCCACAGCAAACACACAAGTTGGCATTTGTAGAACTGAATTCCCGAATTTAGAAACGTCCCCTCTCTTCAAAGCACATTTACAGGGTTACTCCAAGGTGCAGGTACAGCAAATACCTCTGAGTTGATATGCTAAGCATTTGTGATTGCTGTTTCACACAGACCCTAAAGCAATCATTTGTTTTGAGAGGAAGAGGAAGTTTCATTTCTTTTTTGTTTGTTTTTGTAGATTCAGTTACAGTTAAGAGTGACTCAGTTTGGGGCATTGAAAATATGTAGGAAAAACATTGAGAAATTTAAAAGCAAAAGTGTGTGTTAGAGTTGAGTTTTAACAGGAGAAAACATTTTTACTTGCATGTCGTATAGTCAACTATCAAAGGGTGTATGTGTTGCTTTAGGTTTCTCCATGCAAATTCCATTGTCTTTACTACAAAGTCTTCACAATTACCAGTGGTATTCCCTTCATTTGTGTGATGTTACAAAGGTTGGACAGTGTATCCCATAATAGTAACATCGATGTCTTTGACACAGTCCCCACTGCCTTGTTGAATCTCTCTCTGTATTGTATGCATCGCCAAGTGTGAAACCATAATATGTAGTTTATTGAGAAATGGAAGGCCACAGGTCATTTTGCATGAGTACAGCCCGCTGGGGCTAAAGAAACTGACCCTTTTTCCTTTTACCTGTTTTAGGTAAATGAAAATTACAATGACAAACTGACTCACCACTATTAGCTTTGTGCAATGTTATAAAGGCAGAAGCAAAACACTAGTGCACTGTGCTTGGCTTTACAGGATGGCTTTCCCACCATTACATTAAGTGGATTGTCTGCATCATACTGTAAATGCCATTTCTTGCAAATTTATATACTTAAATATGCTCAGTTAACATTCTAAAGTATTAAAAATACAAAGAAAATACTAAGCAGGCATTTATAGCAATACTATGAAATCAACAATAATTGTTTTGACTATTGCCTTTGCTCTTTAGTGCAATCTTTCTGCATTGTAATTGTTGTGTTGCTTTCTTTTTTTACATTTCACATTCCTGACTTCAGAATTAACTACTTGCTCACCCAAAATTGCACTCACCTTTCTCTTATTGTACATGCAATGTAACACACAGTTTTGGTGCTTAACAATATTCTTTTTTCTTTAATAAAGGATATTTATTTGAATTATAACTTAATTTTGTTTGCTTTAAATACATTGTTGGTATTTTCATTTCAAAAAGGAGCATACCAATATTGCACATTTTTAATAGTATGTGTTATCTTAGTTACTTCCTACTGTGACTAAATACCTTGACAAGAGGCAACAGGGAGAAAATTATTTTGACTTAAGAGTTCAGGGAAAGCCGGGCGGTGGTGGCGCACGCCTTTAATCCCAGCACTCGGGAGGCAGAGGCAGGCAGATCTCTGTGAGTTCGAGGCCGGGCTGGACCGACAGCCTCCGAAGCAATACAGAGAAACCCTGTCTCGTAAAGCAAAAAAAAAAAAAAAAAGAGTTCAGGGAAGTTTATGTTCATGGCAGCCATGGTGAGGAAACAGGATCCTGTGTTCAGCTTGGTTTCTCCTTTCGTTCAGTCCCGGTAACCAGGGGATGATGTCCCCACGTTTACAGCAGGTCCACCTCTACTAAACCTTCCTGACAATAGGTATTCCCAGCACTGTTGATTGAAGATTAACCATCATGGTTGATGTAGACCCTGACCCATAGGTAATCCATGCCAAACAGCGTCTCTGAATGAATGCTGCTGCTTCCATGGCAGCTTTACTTGAGCTGTTTATTGTATGTGCTGTTTGTATATATATGTACAAGGCTTCAATGTGTTTTCCAAAACTGGGAGGTCTTTTAATGCCTTCATTTCATGAGTTTGTTCATGATTATCTAAATAGAGAGAAAGTGCCTGCAGACACCAGCCGGTTTCTGCCAGTCTAGTTTAATGGGGTGAACGGGTGGAAAGGTACTCAATCCCCAGGGCACGGGACTCACTGGCAGCAGATGTTGTGTGTAAGTGAATGAAGATAGGAGTCTGAGGCAGAAGAGGAGAGTCTGGCTGCCTGGATCAGCTTTGTCCGGTTAGCAGCGGCTCCCTATAAACGGACCTCTTCACACTAAAAGATCCAGACCTCTGATAGGCCAGCTTTTCCAGCCATTCACATTCCTTTCTCCATTATTTGCTCTCCCACAGGCCGGGCTGCAACCCCCTTTTCAGACACAGGTTAGCTTCTGTTCACACACAGGGCTTAGCTCTATGATCTCTGAGTCTGGATATAACTCTGCAACTCCCTAAAACTGTCAAAGGAGGCAGCCATGCTGTTCTGTGCCTCTATCTGTATTCACATAATTTTTGTTTTATTATTTGTGTGTGTGTTTGTGTGTGTGTTTGTGTGTGTGTGTGTGTGTGTGTGTGTGTGTGTGTACACCACCAGTATAGGGGTCCTACTGGTTCACAGAAGAGCAGTTGCTTTATCAGCAATTTGATGGTTCCACCGGATGCACTGTACAGCTCAGTCTTGTGTACCCACCTGGACACCCCAGAGAAGGCCAGTCCTCTCCCCTCCCAGTGTCCCACAGTGGGATCTGGACACCCACATCAGATCTACCTGTGTTATCCACAATGCCTCCTGGCATCAGAAGACAACCTTTCAGCATCAGGAAACTGATCTTGCTCCTTTTGCCAGGCTGATTTCCACTTCTTGAAGTCTTCCTCCTCAGGTTCCCACCCTGATTCCTAAGCTAAGCTGTAGATCATCTGCAACAGGGCACTCACCAGGTTACCACAAGTGCAGATACCCTAACTCCAGCCTGAATCCTAGGCCCATGTCCCCTGCAGTGTTACCTGAGTGGCCTGCAAAGGGAGTAGCCCACCAGTCCTGACAGCCCATGCCGTCTGGGGAGGGCAGAGCTAAGCTGCACCAGGCAATTACAAAGGCCTCATTTACTCCCTATCCGTGACTGATTCACTGCAAGAATTTGATTCTCCTTCAATCAAGAATGTGCTGGCATGAAATATAAAATACTTATTTCAATAGCCACCAAGAAGAAGAAAACGTATGGAGAAAAGCATTAACAATGGAGCAACATTTCTGACTTAGAGACTGCTTCTACCCAAAAAGTAGTTTTGTTCTATTTCTGTACATGTAAATCTGAATGGAAATTTAACACCACCATTTCTACCATGCAAAGGGCTTTTATAATTGCTGCCACGTTCTTCAATAGTCTAAGTCCTCACTGATCCACAGGCTGAGGTGGCCCTTGCATTACCTCACAGCAGGCAGGGCTGAGGAGGCACCAGCAGTCTCAGTCATTTTACAAATGAATTCGTGTGCAGAAAGCAGCGGGGACACTCCCAGAGAGCAGTGACTGTACACCTTTCCTGTCACTGTTGTCCTCTGTGCCTCAGTTGCCCTTCTGAGATGTAAGGCTGTACTGCATCTGAAGTTTTCAAATCTTCCCTCATATTTCTTTGAGCCGTGCCCACTTAAAACAGTCTACTGCAGGTGACCATTAAAATAAGAGTGTCCTGTGACCTCTGGCTCCTGCCTAACAGGCAGACGGAGATGGACTCTTACACAGAAGTGAACAGATGCCACCTGGGGACGACTGAAAGATGACAGGGAAAGACCAGAGGTTGTCTGCCACCGTCCAGGGAGCTGGCTCTCGCAATCTGATGCCCTGTGCATTGGATCAGCCAGACCTCTGGGGAAGCAAGCAACACAAATTCGTGTGGCCCAGAAGAACTTGCCTTCAGAGTGGGCCAAGGCCCAGAGACATCTGCCCAGCAGCCTGTCCACTACAAGTTCATGGTAGCAGGTTCATTTTCTCAAGCCTCAGCTAGGACTTACGAAGACCATCTAAGACAGTTGGCCATGCAAGTGTACCGCCTGAGCCCATCCCAGGAATCCACATGAAGTTGTAAGGAGAGAACACAAAGTTTTCTTCTGACCTTTACGTGACTTTTTTTTTTTAAGATTTATTTATTACATATACAGTATTCTGCCAGAAGGGGGCACCAGATTGAACTGTAGATGGTTGTGAGCCACCATGTGGTTGCTGGGAATAGAACTCAGGACCCGGGGAAGAGCAGTCGGTGCTCTTAACCTCTGAGCCACCTCTCCAGCCCCCTTATGTGACTTCTTTACTCCAACAACAACAACAAATCTTTTAAAAAACATTTATTCTACCCATCAGAGGAAAACAAGGCTTTTGCCAGCCAGTATGCAGGCTCTCTTCTCCACCTTCTCCGGCATTTATCTAAGTTCCATGGCAGGGTGAAGGTTCTTGGTGGGAGACTGGACGTGCGGTGAGACCCATCCATCCATGCTGCCATGTGCAGGAACAATTGTGTTCTAACACTCGCTCTCTTTGTGTCCTAGACCACCCTGGTGGCCATGTGTGCCTCATCCTGACGTCGTCCAGGCACAGGAGCTATTTTACCCATTTTTAAGGGCTGAGCAAGGCCTTTTCAAAGCTGATCCGGTGCTGGCAGAGGTGAGGGCTCTCAGGCTGGAATATTGCACACTCACAATCTCTCCTCTATGGAGAATTACTGTTAGGTCAAGCCTGGATGCCAAGGCACTCTGTTTACTGACCAATTCCAGAGCCTATTTACCCTCCATCCTGTGGGATGGGAAGGAGGCTATGGCCAGGTCCTACCTAGTGACTTCAACCCCAAACAGACTCCCTTCTTCTGTCCTTATCACACTGGTGTCCGTTTTCAAAAGGTCTCAGGTGACAGAAAAACTCAAATGTAGAAAACTAACCTCTGGGGACTGCAGGAATCACTCAGTCCTGGGAGTTCTGGATTGGGGTGGAGACTGAGGAGAGAAAGGAATAATGCCAGGCAAGAAGCGGAAACTAAAAATGCCAAACGCCTTCCTGTCACTTACCTCGTGACTGATCCCAGTGTTTTGTTCATCTGGTTGTATTTCCAGTTTTTCTTACCTGGACTGCTACAGTTAAAAGCCTTCCTGAATCAGAGCTTGCAGGAGTTTTGAGTCTTTCTTGAGTGTGGTCCAATGACTTAATTTCTCTCTAGTGTGACTGCAGTCACTTCATGTTACTTCAAGGGTTTCACTGATTGTCCTCTTGGCAAAGTGGGGCTGCTGAGGACGAGACAAGTCTGCAGTCTGGGTTCTTCCTCCTTGCCCAGCCACTGAATGTGTTCTCATTTCCCCCTCCTCACGAGGTTCAGGGGGCAACTGTCCCTCTTTTACACAGTTCAGACGCTGCCTTCTCAGGATACCGCTCCTTTCCCATGTGCATCCCTTTCCTGGTAGCGCTGTAAGACCCCTGCATGGCTCCCTCACCAGTCTGTGCTCTCCACGGGAGGACTGGCCTTCCAACGCACACCTCATGGGCGTTCCTGAAATGGTGGCTTACCGGCCAACTGGCATTAGATGCTACCAGAGGCAAAGTGAAGGAGGTGACAAGAGGCTCCTGACCCAAGAGGGAGACACTGTCTGATCCACAACAGCCCTAGCATTTTCCTATTTCTTTCCATTCTGTTCCATCTTCCTGTTTAAGGTCTATAACTACAAACTAGGCAGCCTGGCTGTCTTACAGTGTCTTCAGACGCAGGACTGGCCCCGGGGAAGAACAAAGGAAACCACAGCCTTCCACTGACTGCACTATGTTCCCCCACCCATTGCAGCAGGATTTCGCCAGGCCTGCAAACAGTTTCTTACAAGGCAGTATAACAACTCATGAACGTGCAAAACTGGGTTTAGTGGGTTAACAGTGCTTTCCTATAACCTGCAGCAGAGTCCATGTAAAGGTGGAAGGAGATGGTGGCACTGCTTCAGTTCCTGGTCCTGACCACAGGCAAAGATGAAGAATGACAGTGTGCCCAGTGAGTCAAGCCACTGATGGAGTACTGTCGAACACGCTGCGGAACAGTGCTACTATAATTTAGGAGTTTCATCAAGGAAAGCTAAACATTTATTTTTTTAGCTTCCTGAGTTAATGCTTTCTAAAAGTACAGGGTTTTAGAGGCACTGTGGGATATCTGGTAACTGGGTACTAACTAACCCTAAATACCCCTAAAACTTATCTCTGGGTAAAGGAAAAAAATACAGAAATACCTAACCTGATGTCCAAAATAGAGAACTCTATGAGGAAGAGAAAAAGAGTAAGATATCTATATATACCAACTTGGACACATCCAATAGCCTAAAAC